AGTGACTGTGTGTGTGTGTGTGTGTGAGAGAGAGAGACAGTGAGAGGAAGTGTATATGAGGGATGATCAAAAAAATAAAGATTTATATTTGGGTGTTTTTCAGCTAATCTTGATCAGCTAAATTCTTGTTTATTTAATGTTTACTGTAAAAATAAATAAATAAAATAATTGGACATACATGCATCACAAGAATATTCTGCCGTTTTCAACACAACTCGAATTACGTGACGAAAATAATGGTTGTGGTAATAAAAATAAAATAATAATTACATTTATCTAAAATATTGATTTTTGTTTACATTTCATATTTTATATCAAGCATGGTTGTATCCTCAGTATTTAAGTACACTAAAAAATATTTTTAGGGGAAAAATTGAGGGGAAAAAAATAATTTTTTTCTTAAACAGTACTGTAATATTTTTTTTTACCTTAGCAGTTAAAAAAAAGCTATATATATATATATGTGTGTTTAATTTTTTTTTATATATATAATATATAATTTTACAATAAAGATAATATAAGAATATTTTTATGATTTTAATTTTTGGGGTTGAAAGTCTAGGTCTGTAAAAGGGTAACATAAAATCCATACACACAAAGCATTTGTCAGCAAGGTGGCAGCAATAAACTGAAAGCATAGTAAAAGTTTCCAGGACAAGTTTTAATGTGACCTCCGTACAACAAAAAGAAAAAAATTTGAAACCTGTTAGTAATTAAAACTTTTTATTAAAATACGAATTCTCGTAGTCAGGTAATAATGCTGCGTCAAAGAAATCACTCATTCAGTAAATGAAAATGTCTTGTTTTCATTGCTGAGTCGAGAAGGGTTAAAACAGATTTAGTGTTGGGATTTTCCCCATAGCACTGGTGACCAAATGTTTGGGCCAATTTATTGAAACTAATTTTTGTTATTCTAAAATGCCAGCAGACCATGCGGCTAGCACACACAGCTGATTAACACATCTGCAGATATGCTGTTTGTGTATGTGTGTGCTTTCGGCATACATCCTGTGTGGAGCTTATGAAAAAATGAAAACATCTGTTGTATTGAGATTATCCTATTCTCATATTAGTAGCTGTTTGTATCATTTGTGTTGTTGCCCATTTAATTAAAGCAATAACATGAACAAAATATGAAATAATATTTAAAACCGAAGGATTTCAAAGAAACTTTGAACCTTTGGGTAATCCTCTTAGCTTGCCTGGCTGGTCTGGGCTTGTTGATCTATAAAGAGAGGGGATGCGCTTCTAGCCATTGATTGGATTAGGTGAGCTTTAATCTTTTTGTTTATTATCTAATATAATACCTGGGAGAAATCAAATAGAATGTAATGATGCAAACCGCCACATACAGCAAATGGGCTTTGAGACGCAGTGAAGATGAGCTGGGCTGGATGGAGAAAAGAGCTCAACCCACACTAAAAGCTTACCAGAGTCTACCACAATTTTTCATTTTAGGGGGATTAAAATCTGCCTGCTAAAATTCTTTATTTTGTAATTTACTAGGCCATTTATCGCAGTTTGGTTTAAAAGAAGTATTTTGTATTCAAACAGGTGTCCCAACTATCGTACTACCCTGACTTTCATTGTTTTATCATAGGGGAATCAGCTTTATTTACAGTTGTATATGCACATTCAAACAGGAAAACAGTATTTTAATAATAATAACAACAACAATAATTTATTATTTTTATTATTTAATAATAATTATATTATTATTATTATTAGAGCAATATGTGAGAAGATTGATTTATATTTGAGGAAGAAGATTGATATTTCCTTTAGCAAATGAGAGCAGTGTTTTTTTAGCAAGGTCAGAGTAATGCTGGATAAAATATATTAGTATGATTTCACTGGCCATGACTAGCAGTCTGTAAAAAAAATTTTTTTGAAGTTTTAAACAAAAGATTATTGGAGTACATTTAACAAGAACTTTCAGTCTTTCTACTTAAACATGTTATTTTTAATTCAATGCTACTTGCTATTTCTAATTGTTTGTGAAATTTACTAGTAATTTTTCAGTGAAAATTGCTTCTATACCCAAAAAAAAAGTCGTCTCATTATTAGGTTAATGAGAAAGTATGTTGACAGTCTTATAACATACATGATCTTTTACTTTTACTTGTATTAGATGCTAACAGATGAACAGTTTGTTGAAGTGAAGTGAAACAATAATAAAGTATCTGTTTGCAATTTGTCTCTTTAGGGCACGGCTCTAGTATTTGCTCCTACCAGAGGAGACACACTGGCAGAATTCTGCAGACTGGCGGAAAGCGCAGGCCTGAGAGTGTGTCGCTATGACAACTACGACTCACAGTTGTGGGACCTTCACCTGAAGGTGTGTACTGTATGTGTGTGTGGCTTTTATTGTGTGTGTAAATGTTTTAAAGTGTCAGAAAGTTGAGAATCAAAGTTTTAAGTTTGACTGAATTTGTCACCACCTTTGTATGTGCACTAAATTTGTATTTTGAATGTTTCACTGAAGTACAGTATGCTATGTCAGCAGGAACAGGAACGGGGAGTCTGGTAAGCTTCAGCTCTAAATGGACTCTTAGAATTCAAAAGCTGTCTTTCTGAGAAACTCTAAATTAATTGGACAGGGTGCAGTTCCTATCCCCTGCCTGAAAGCACAAATAAAGTACCCAGGTCAAAGTGACAGTGCAGTCCAGCTGGTTAACTGGCACCGATAGCGCTGCCATTTTTTGGTTACCAAAGAAGCTGTGAGGACCCATTATGCCCCACAGGCCTAACAGTGGTGGCCCTGCCTATGCCTGAGGAAAATGGGCCTGTCAGCGGGACTCTAGAGCTGAGTGATTGGAACTTTATTTCTGAAGTGATGGACATGGCTGGGCAGAAAACGCTGAGGGGTCATTGTGGCTACAGAGGAAAGAGTGTTTGAATTTAGAGCCATCAGTTGAGAGCAGAAAGGGAGAGAGAGAGAAAGAAAAATGCAGAATTCTTCTGTTCCCTTTAAAATTTCCCTTTAAAAACATGAACAGACCTAAAACAGCAACTAAAGTGGAAAGTTTTAAGCACTTACACAAAGTCCACAAAAATACGGCCCAATGTGCTGTTTTAATATGAAGAATTTTTCTGTACTGATATTTTGCAGGTGTTTTACCCACAGTTTGAATCTGCTCATTGCATTGTGTTGTGTTTTAAGGTGAAAGGAAACAGATAATGTCCTGGTAGAAAATGACCAGTAGCCTACTTTTTGTTGTTGTTGTTTTCCTCTCCACGTACACCTTTGCTGCATAAGTCATTAGAGTAAATTCCTCTTCAGTTCCTGAAATTGAATTTTCATTTTAATTAAAGGGGCTAACAGGAGCAAGCATATTAGAATTTAAGGAAATAATATTAATAAGGACTAAAATTCACAGAAATTCAATAAACATGTATTGTAATTTTTAACTAGAACTGGAAGGTTTGTCAAGATTAACTTTGAATTATGGCTTGAAAAGTGTGGCCTGAAAGTTTCAAAGTCTTGAAGACTTTTGTTTTATGAGCCTATTAGATAAAAAATTTAATTAAAACAAACGTCGCAGATTGTAGTGCCATATCAGAACAGGTTGTACCTGTTCTCTTAATGAGTAGGGCTGCACGATAAATCGCATGAGATATTTAACGTGCATCTTATCAGTAAAGGCGGTTCTGTAATCAGCGGTAAATCTCCATCACCTGCGTGCTTTCACATTGAGCAGCATTAACTACACAGAGCCGTTGTTCACTGACGAGCTCACGAGTGAACAACGGCTCTGTGTAGTTAATGCTGCTCAATGTGAAAGCACGCAGGTGATGGAGATTTACCGCTGATTACAATCAACGTGGTGCAGGACATGAAATTGATAACTGCGTCGGGCTGAAACTAACAAAAATCGCGACAGTATCACAACGCATGCATGTGCATTCCTCTGCTCGTAAACAAGGCACAGTGCATCCGGGTTCTACGTCAGAACACCGGCTCCTGCGTCAGTAGCATCACACACATGCTTCATGGTACTGTCGTGAACACGTGGCGAAGACTGACACGAAAGAGAAGAAATTGTTGAATAAAGCCGTTATACACTTGTGTCGCGCTTGGCGCCGCATTGCGCCATATGTATGATTGGGCCCTTGTACTTTATATGTTTATTTTATTTATCTGTTTTATATTTAATAATTTACATGCATTCGCGACAGTATCACAACGCATGCATGTGCATTCCTCTGCTCGTAAACAAGGCACAGTGCATCCGGGTTCTACGTCAGAACACCGGCTCCTGCGTCAGTAGCATCACACACATCCTTCATGGTACTGTCGTGAACACGTGGCGAAGACTGACACGAAAGAGAAGAAATTGTTGAATAAAGCCGTTATTTTTGTTTTCTTTGCACACAAAAAAGTATTCTTGTAGCTTCATAAAATTAAGGTTGAACCACAGATGTCACATGGACTATTTTAACAATGTCCTCACTACCTTTCTGGGCCTTGAAAGTGGTAGTTGCGTTGCTGTCTATGCAGGGTCAGAAAGCTCTTGGATATCATCAAAAATATCTTAATTTGTGTTCCGAAGATGAACAAAGGTCTTACAGGTTTGGAATGACATGAGGGTGAATAATGACAGGATTTTCATTTTTGGGTGAACTATCCCTTTAAATCCAGTTTCTGTATTTACAATTCAAATTTTAATTCAACATCCTGCAGAGTGTTGTTGATTCAATCCCAGTTCACACTCGTGAATTGAAGGATATCCCATTCTTAAAATTCTGAATTTTTCCCAACCCTAATAAACTACTCAAAAGAGTTCAAGCTAGAATTTTTTTTGTATTTTATCAACTTTTCCAAAGGCATGCTTCAACAAAAAGCTTCATACAAATATAAAATTGTACATTTCCTCCCATCACCTTCTGCCACAATAAATTAAAACATATATTAAAATAAATTAATAATTTAAAAAACTAAAATAATAATAATAAGAAGAAGAAGAAGTAGAAGAATCCTAATCGCACCTTAGGTGCTTGGCCCCTAATAATAATAGTGTTAATGCCATACAAAATAGGCTATAGGATACACTCTAACATTATGTACCAAAATAAACACAACAATGTCAAAGTTAAATAAATTAACAAATAAACATGAGTAGTCCCAAAAAAACACCTCTGATACATTTGTGGTCTATATATAATGTTATGAATATATAAACAAACATAACACAGGTAAATATGCTTCAACCAAATGGTTTTTCCAATTATTTTAGTTATATTAGTTAGAGGGGAGTGTCTTCATCTTTTCAAAATATGTAATTATGGGTTTCCAAATTCTATAGAAGTTTTGAACAGATCATTTTTTTAGATATTTTATTTTCCCTAATTTTAAAAATGATATCAGGTCACAAATCGACATTGAAGCTGTAGGCGGATTCTTTAACATCCATTCCAGCAATATTCTTCTTCTTGCTAATAAAGAGGCAATGTAATATGTACATGGTACATCACTTATTTGTATGTATCAGATAGGCACCTGGAGGTTGCTCCAGTACATGTACAATGACAATAAGGTTCTTACTAAAAGCGATAACATTTTTTCACATTGTTAGTCAAAGGTACTTAACTTTCTGGTACTCCAAAAATAGCCATTTCAACACAGGGCATTATATTCAAGTTAAAAGCATCGTTTCGCATTTTGAATATAAACATCCAGTAGTTTCTCAGCACTTGGCAGGACCAAAACATATGGATTAAGTCAACCTCATCATTTTTTCATCAGTCACACCTATCACCAACGTTAGGATAGATTTGAGAAAGTCTAGATTTTGTGTAATAACACGGTGAAGAATCTTAAATTGAATGAAATAAAGATTTTCAAAAATAAAATGGAAATGAAATAATATATATATATTGAATTTATTTATATATATGTACATGTATATGTATATGTGTGTGGCTGTACATACACATATGTAGTTGTTTTTTGGTGTTTGGCTTAGTGTTATGTTAGAATCATTATTATGCTCATACCTTTTGTTCTTTTAATATTTTGAATTGTTTTTAGCTTTATTTTTTAGTTTTGAGAGTGTTTAGTTTTGAAATGTTGTTGTATGCATTTGTCATTTTTATTTAATTTCTTTTATTTTCTTAAATGTGAATATGTATAGTATTTATAGAGTTTTAGCTTTTAGTATTAATTACTTTTTCTTGTTTGTATGTCGCTTTGGATAAAAGCGTCTGCTAAATGACTAAAAGTAAAGTAAAGTAAAAAGAATGAGACTCAGGCGTGCACAAGTAGTTGATCCACTTACTCTATTCAGGGCATCTTCCCATACTTCATCAGTTATTTCAAATTCCATATCTTTTTTCCACTCTCCTCTAATTTTGTCAATGAAAGTATTATTTAAAGACATGACCATATTATATAGTGCAGAAATTTGACCTAGAAGGGTTACAGGGGCTTGTAAAATTCGACCCAATAATGAGGTAGGGGTAGGTTAGGAAAGATTGAACTCTGGGCCTGAATAAAATGTTGGACTTGAAAATAACAAAACAGGTTGGACTGTGTCAACTGAAATTTCTCTGAGAGGTCACTAAAGCTACCAAAAGTGTTATCTATGTAAAAAATCACTGCATTTGGCCAAGCCCACACTCTGCCATTGTACATACATATGATCTATTTTACCAGCAGGAAACAGAGGGTTGTTACAGAGAGGACTTAACATAAGTTTATACATTTACCTAAACTGAGACCATATCATATTGAGAAGGTCGAAATACAAGCATTTGCTTCTGCCTTACACCAAACAATCAGTCTCCGGAAACGTATACCAACAAATTATTTTTTTGAAGATTTGCAGCCCAGTAATATCCAATAAAATTAGGAAAAAGCTAAGCCTCCTTGAGATCACTGTCTTTCTAGGAGGTCCTTATGGATTCTTGGATTCTTCCCCTTCCATAAAAATGATAACATGGGCTTGTTTAATGAACGAAAAAAAGTTTTTTGGGAGGGATTGAAATAAGTATTAAGATATAGGTAAGGCATTCATTTTTATACAATTTACTCTACCTGCTAAAGATAATGTGTCCCATCTCTGAAAATCAGATTTGAGTTTGTTTATAAGGGGTAAAAAATGATTTGCATATAAACCTGAAAAGGTTTGAGTATGTACTCCCAAATATTTAAAGCCGGACTGAGAAATGCAAAATGGAAGGGATGCCGCATTGATTTCTATAACAGATACTTTAGGAGTAGAATAGAGTAACTGAATCCAATTTATATATTTCGGACAAAAGCCAAATAGTTTCAATATTAAAAATAAATAGTTCTACTCGACTCTGTCAAATGCTTTCTCTGCGTTCAGGGATACC